CAGGTGGCCCAGGTATCTTCTCATTCTCCACTTCTCCAGGGATCTCCCCAGCTGCCCCCTCCATTGAAGCAAAATACTCTGATACCTTGACATCCAATCCAAGAAGACACTGAAGTTGATAAGAGAAAAAAACTCCAATATTAATACTGACAAGATGTAGGCTCTATAAGGCTCAGGAGACATTAAATCTAACAGTTTTCTCATTTTAAAGCTTTATTCTAAATGCAGCTGTTTAGAAGGTCACTGCAGTGTTCAAAAGACTTCTCTGTGTACATGACACTTACAAACGATCATCAGTGCTTGGTGGGGGGGTGAGGGTGGCTTGAGGATTCCTCCAGCTTTGGCCGCTTGCAGGCAGGAATGGAAGGATGTGTAAAAAAAGAGAAAGCAAATTCCAAAACAGAAAGCTCACAAGGGATACTGCAGTCACCACTAGGAAAACATTTGTACTATGTGCAAAAAAACACATACAATGCAAGGGTTTGAGGTTAGGGAACAGGGTGTTAGAAATACTTGACCTCCTTAGTTTTAGTATTTAGAACCTTAGTAGACAACCTGCAGCCTTAAGGTCCCCACACACCTTGCGATAATCGTACGATAATCGCGGGAAATCCCGCGATCGTACGATTATCGTAAGGTGTGTGGAAGCCGTGCGACCTCTACTACTGTAAGGTTGCACGACTTTTAACTTACGAACATGTTCGAAAACCCGCCGAGCATCGTACGATGTTCGGCGGGTATGTAGCATGTTCGTACGATAAAAGCCGGACGGGCCGGTGTGCGCAAGCGCACACTGCCCGTTCGGCATTGCGGTCATCGGAAGCCCGCCCCTCAGGGGGGCGCGGCTTGCGATCATCGCAAGTACGATCTGCCTGTCCAAGCTAGGCAGATCGTACGTTTTTTTAAGTACCTTACAACCATCGCAAGACCAAAGTTTTAGATGGTTGTAAGGTGTGTGCCCAGCTTAGGGATGCATGTAGAAAAAAAAGCCCAAAAAACACCCAAAAATGCTTAGCTCTACGGATAACATATCTCTGAACCTGAACCCCCCACCTAACCTTTCCCTCCTTCTCTCCCCTTCTGGATTTTTCGGTTCTCTCTATTCTCCTCTCCTCCTTTCACTTCTCATCTTCCAATCCAAATATAGTGGTTTCTTTCTTACGAGATCCGGGACATGGTTGATATTTGATGGTTTGTGAAATTGGATAGGTCATTTATGTACCCTTGATCGATGCTTCTTCTACCTGTGACCTGTAGCTTGTAGCCCCACGCCATAAATGTTTAAGTCACTAACCCCAACTTTTTATATCTTTTTAACTTTGAACCAACCACTACGACTTGTTTTTTTATTGCAACTTTGTATTGTTCGGATTCTGTACTTCTGAAAACTTCTAATAAAAATGAATATTAAAAAAAAAATTATGCTTAGCTCAAGTGTGAATGCGGCCTAAAGGACATGTAATGACATCTCTAGCAGTCTCGTGGAACATGTTCCCAGTTTTTGACTGTCCCCTACGGCATGTCTCAGGCCACCATCTGTACATATCTGCAGTTGCTAACCATTTCCTCTAGTAAGTCTGCAGTCTGTCAGTCTTTTGTAGCATTACATATACTAAATATGATGTGCGGCCCTTTGGTGATGTCAGGGGCCACAGTTGAGGCCCATGCGGCTCGCAAGTTGACATCCACCAATCTACAACATAAAAGCACATGGTGTAAGAATGACAGCTAGCAAATACAAGAAGACATGTGACCAAAATATAGAAAGAAACCTTGTTACGTACTATTTTTTGTCATTCATCTTCGAACGGGGTGTGATCCAGGGACACATCTGATGGGTAATGATGATCTCCTTCTAGATTCCCTCCTTTAGGAGTTCTGGCGTCTAGGCCTAAGATCCACATCCGTGGGCCAAGTAGGCCAGTGCCTTCCTACTAGGACCACATTTTGCACTGTGGTTCAGGGGAGGTTGTGTTTCTACGTCAAAGCCCTCTAGACACTACCTCTCCAAACTCTGTCCTCTGCAACCCTGACCCCAAAGGATGGAGCATCAGCAGGAGGGGGAAGGTGCCATGTCTTTTTCATAGCCCAGACATTTCTCTATTTCTTTTGCAAAGTGCATAGTGCCTGTAGCTCTCCTCCAAATTTGTCTGCTTGCCCCATAATAGTATTATGTGTCTGTTAAATATGTTATAAGCAAAATTGCCTGGGGTGCCTCATGCCCCCCTAATCACTTGTGGCTCCTGGTCCATGACACATGGGAGTGCTCACTCAGAGATGGCTTAGTCAGTAGTATTCTAAGCAACTGATTTCAATAGTACTGCTTTTACACATAATCCTCCATGTTTCTCCGGAAGAAGTCCACAAACTCCACATTCAGAGGGGGGTGATTTTGATTGTACTACAGGAATCAGCATCAATTTTTTGTATTATTTATATTGAAGTATTGAAATTATTCATAATAAAAGATGTATGTTTTAAAAGGATACACTATCTGATGTTATATACCGATCAGCCATAACATTATGACCACCTGCCTAATACTGAGTAGGTTCCCCTAAACAGCCTTGACCCGTTGAGGCATGGACTCCACTAGACCTCTGAAGGTGTGCTGCAGTATCTGGCACTAAGCCATTCTATTGGATCGGACAACACAGGCCAGCTTTTGCTCCCCATGTGTTTCAGTGAGCCTTGGCTGTCCATGACCCTGTAGCTGGTTCACTGGATTTCCTTCCTTGGACCACTCTTGGTAGATCCTGACCACTGCAGACCCAGAACATTCCAAAAGAACTGCAGTTTTGGGGTTGCTCTAACCCAGTCATCTAGTCATCACAATTTCTCAGATTTCCTCAAATCCTTACACTTGCCTATTTTTTTTTCTGCTTCCAAAACATCAACTTCAGGGACAAAACGTTCACTTGCTGCCTAATATATCCCTCCACTTCCAGGTGCCATTGTAACTAGATAATCAATGTTATTCACTTCATCTGTCTGTGGTCATGTTATGGCTGATCGGTGTATACAAGATCCTTTAACTGCTTGAAGACCAGGTGTTTAGATCCCCTACCTGGCCAGGCCATTTTTCAGTGTTCAGCGCTGCGGTACTTTGACTGACATTTATTCCGTCACGCAACGCTGTACTGAAATGAATTTTATACCATTTTTTGGGGACAGATAGAGCTTTCTTTTGGTGGTATTTAATCACCACTGCGGGTTTTATTTTTTACTATATTCAGGAGAAATTACTGAAAATTTTGAGAAAAAAAAGTTTTTTTTTACATTATGCTATAAAACAACTAATATTACCCACTTTTTTGGTAAAATATAAAAGACGGGGTCACGTCGGGTAAATAGACACCAAACATGTCAAGCGTAAAAATTGCGCGCACTCGCAAAATCGCAAAAAACTAGCATACCCAAAATTGGCCATAGGCGACGCTTTAAAAGCTTTTACCGCTCATCAGTTTAGTGTTATCAGTGATTGATGGCCCTAGAACTATTGCTCTCATTCCGACGTTCGCGGCGATATGTAACATGTGCGGCGTAATGGGTGCAATCGTCGTTTTCGCAGGTATGCGCACCTGACGCATGTTTACATGCGTGTATGTAGGGGTGGGGACTTTAAAAAAAAAATTGTTTTTTTTAATTCTTTTTTGTGTAACTTTAAAAAAATGGGGGGGGAAACTTTAAATTTTTGTACTATTTTTTTTTTCCACTTAACTTTATTGCTATCACAGAGGGGGCTGAGAAACCCCCTTATGTGATAGCAAAAGAGGTGACAGGTCCTCTTTATGGAGACATCAGGGGGTCTCCAAGACCCCTAATGTCACCTAGGACCCCCCTGAAGAAGCTGATGAAGCAGAGATCTGCTTCATCAGCTTCTCTCCAGCATCTGAAGCTGGAGAGTGACACAAGAATGCGGAAGTGATGTAATATACAACACTTCCGCATTCTGACAGCGGAGAGGGGACCGGAGGGAGCTCGGGCGGATGTAACAGGACGTTTATACACGCCCAGTTACATCCAAGAAGCTCATCCAAGTAGTTAAGGGCTCATTTACACACTAGCATCACGCTACGTGTGTGGGATCCATGTATTTAGGGCACGTTATCGCACAGCGTGTGGTACCACTCGCTACGTGAGCTGGTGTGTTGCCTTGCTATTGATTCTCAATGGCACCCCAATGCACCTACCGGCGGGTGTGAATTGTAGCGAAGCGTAATAACATGAATTGTGTTGCCATATGATGAAAAGGGTAGCACATGCATTCTTTCTTTTCACCAAACGGAAACACAAGTTATTATCCTTATTATTGTACCCACTAGGGTTGCCACCTTTTCTTCAAGCCAAACCCGAACACTCTACCAACGAGCGGACATTTTTTTGGGAGAATGAGTCGCGGCTTATTCATATGTAAATAGCGCAGCCCATTCATATGTAAATATCACAGTTGAGACTATTTTCAGTGGGGGAGCAGTAGCCCCTATCTTCATTTTGGATGCCCCTGCCTGCCTGACATCCTGTGTCCGGGTTTCTGCTGCCATGAAACCCGGACACAGCATTCAAAACCCGAACTGTCTGGGTGAATCCTGGACAGGTGGCAACCCTAGTACCCACACCTTTCACACACTGCTAAAGTGTTAAGTCCCATATGGGCTTATTTTCTATGTGTCATAAGTTACAAGGGATGTTGATACCCCTCCAAAAGGAGCAAATAACCTTCCCAAACATGAAACTTTTTGAATTTTTGCAGGTATACTCTACTACAGCATATCAAATCACCGCTCACCTTCATCATATTAACCACAGGGCCGCCTGCACCGCTTCACATGTCCGCTGGGGAGCGCTGCAGCAACACAGACACGAGATTTGCTGATCAGCCCCAACCCTTTAGCCAAGTCTACGTACCTATTGGTCGCCTATCATTGAATAACGTACCCACCAACCAATCACCGCACGACTCCGCTCTGTTTACCATCTCTCGTGATGATGTCAGTGGACGCCCCTAGAAGAAGTGAGGGGCGGAGCTCGTGCCACTGGTATCTGGTGGTGTGACACGTACGGCGGAAGCGGAGGGACAAACGGACATAGAGCGTTGTATTGGGGAAGAGGCAGGTGAGTGGCGCTGCTATGCGAGTCACACAATGGCGGGCCTGTTCGGGGTGGGGAGGGTGTTGTCGGGCTTCACTGCACCACACAAAGCCGCACTAGACTGTAGTAGGCCGCAATACAGCACAACAACACCACCGCTGCCTTGTGTTATCCGGCAGGTCAGCTGTGTCCCGTATGGCGCAGTCAGTGACGATGGCTACATCTACCACTGACCTTATTTCCGTGATATATGGCACTATACACATGTATACTCCGCCTATACGAATGTACAGCTCACACCATGACAAAACACGGGCTCACCACACATCTTACAATCTGATTGTATAATCTCCTTACATCTACCAACAAGTATGTAATGCAGAGGCCTATCCGACTGGATAGATTAGAGTGGGCCTCATTTTACATAGGTTTGGTAGATCTAACGTTGATTGTAACGTGTATACTGAGCCTTAGGGTCTCCATATGCATATCAGTCTGGCCATTAATCTCTGTATAATCAACTTTAGATCCAACAGAACTATGTAATACAACATTCTACCCCATCTATCCAATCGGGTAGGCCCTTGCCTTACATCACTGATGGTAGATCTAAAGGAGATTGTAACGTGTGTGTGCTTAAATCGGATCCAAACCTGGTCACTAACATCTCGTAAAAGCTTTGCCTTGTCATTTCAAAAGTAGGTTTTAATGTTTAATGCTCCAACTGGTGATAATATACCATTTGACGAAGGTCCTTGTTCAGGCACTTCCTGTTATGGGGTGACAACTGTTTTTTTTCAGTTGTGCTCAGGTGTTGTCATGTGGAGCCTACACACAGGCGTGGTGAGCCCATCCATTTATAGCAATGATGTGTATGTGAGGTGAATGAGAGGTAGCTGGAAGAGGGTCGAGGACATCAGCAGTGTCTGTGTGTTTGTGAG